CGGATGCGACCTATACGTCCAGCGCAGAAGAAATAGCCACGGGTCTTCTACTTGCGCATTTCCCGGTGACAATTCAAGAAACCAGATCCGACCTATGGTCGAACGAAGGCCATCACGCTTAGACTAGATAGTCGCAAAACAACGCTTCACTGCAGACTCCATCAAGTGGGCTTTGGCCTCCTTTGAAAAATATAAGTCTCCGGGTGCGGATGGCATCCTTCCAGCATTTCTGCAACAGGGGAACTGGTACTACTACAAAGTAGGAAGGAAAGACTCATTGGCGAAATCGTTCAGACCAATCAGTCTTACTTCCTTCCTGCATAAGAGTATGGAAAAGATCATACACCACGAAATACGATCGAAGGTGCTGACGGCTTCACTGCTTCATGCGATGCAGCATGCTTACAGAGCAGGCATCAACAAATACTGCTTTGTATCAGCTAAACTCGGAGATCCAGAGTTCGTTAGATGGGGGTGAGGTGATGTTATGCGCCTTCCTTGACATCGAAGGTGCTTTTGACAATACGTCTCACGAAAGCGTGTCAAGAGCACTGGAGAAAAGGAGTGTGGCAGCACCAGTGCGCAGATGGATCACAACCGTACTGCACACTAGGGTAGCTGAAACCTCAGTAGGATATACCAAAATTCGACTTTGGAGCCTAGTTGTGGACGATCTCCTTGAGCTGCTAACTAGCAATGGAATTCGCTGTCAGGGATATGCGGATGACATTGTTATCTTAGCTAGGGGTAAATTCGTAGACACACTCTGCGATATCGTACAGAGGGGACTTGGGCTGGCAAAGGGATGGTGTAGTGGGGTTGGTCTATACATCAACCCCTCTAAAACTACAATCATTCCCTTTACTAGACGGAGGTCTCTGCCAGGCCTCAGAAATCTATCCCTTCACGGTAAAGTGTTGGAGATGGCCAGCACGGTCAAGTACCTGGTTCTCACGATGGATTACACTCTATGGTGGAAGCAGCATGTGGACCTGACCCTAACCAAGGCTACGAAAGCACTCATAGTGTGAATCCGACTTGCTGGGAAATCCTGGGAGTGCTCCCCAAGGACTATTTGGTCGATGTACACCATGATCGTAAGACCGATTATCACGTATGAAGCGGTGTCTTGGGTTTCTAAAGAATCGCAGACTTCGGTAGGACTTAAACTGTCGAGGCTGCACAGACTTGCCTGCATCTGCGCGTCGGGCGCAATGCGTACGTGTCCGACTGCAGCACTGGAAGTGATGCTGGAACTTACACCGCTGCATATGGTAATCAAACAGACAGCCAAACAGACTCTGCTCCAAACGACAGCAGAGGGAAGGTAATCTCGTCCCAGCAGATGAGGGCGCTTAGTGAGAAAATGCCAATGGCCCTTCTCCCAAGGGAGAGCATTACCAAAGTAGTAAGCTTCACTAAGAAGTTACCCTTCGCAGCAAGGCAGAATGGAATGATTCATCACTGGACCTGCAGCTAAGGGAAAGCACTATCAAGTGGTACACCGACGGCTCGAAAACGGCGGAAGGGATTGGTGCAGGGGTCGCTGGGCCAAGCAGCAAACTCTCCATTCCCACGAGAAGTTTTCCAAGCATTTTCCAAGTCGAAGTCTATGCTATAAGTCGGTGTGTAGAGATTAACCTACAACGCAACTATCGCAACAAAGGAATTGCTAGACTCAGCGTAGGTCAGGTGGCACTAAAAGAGATCTCTGCCTTAGAGGTCAGATCGCTTCTACTGCAGGAGTGTATAGAACGGCTGAATCAAACCAACAAATTCCGGCTGCTTGTCGCGTTTTACACCGGCCATTGCAGGCTCAAGAAGCATCTCTTCAACGTGGGCTTAGCCTCCTCTGCAAACTGCCGGTTCTGTGACATAGAGGCAGAAACCCCAGAACATCTGCTAATGAACTGCACAACAGTCTGCAGCTGCAGGATCAAGGCCCTGGGATCCATGTTTCCAAACAGGGATTGTATCGCTTCACTAACACCCAGCATAATATTGGAGTTTATCAACATGCTGGGGCTAGATGAGTCGATATGACTTAGAGGAGGGCACAATAGACCATAGGTCGCGGTGCATACCTCAAAACTAATCTATCTATCTATCTAACATATGTAGATATGTATCTACGGTGATTACCATGTCAAGAAATTTTAAAAATTCTACTGAAATTTCAACATAGAATCTTTTGTTTGGTTACCTTATCCAAACAAATGATTAACATGGATTACCTAAGTTAAGGTAACCAAACAAAATGTTCAAATTTCAGCTGACGACATTTTCTAACCAAACAAAATATTTTAAGTTAAAATGAAGAAATCTTCCACTTTCAATTTTGTGCTAAAAAAAACCAGAAAAAAACAATTTTTGATAACAATTCCCATAAATAAAGTATATATACATATTCAACATGGAAATATACAATATTGGCCAGTTATGATTAAATTATTTAGGATTTTATATTATTAGAAGAGTTGCAATGTCATGTCTGAGAGCAGTTGACTTCATCTTCGTCATTGAAATTAGTTTCCTCATTATTCATGATACGTATGCGTAGCACCTATTTGTCAGCGTTGTCATTAATAAAATGGAGCACCTGATAATAGACATTTACGATTTCTTGATCCACAGAGATGAGTCAGTAAAGAATACTGTTAGAGAGGGTGTTTTAGTTTCAATGCTACGTTATTTGGCGACACACCAGTAAATGAAAAGTGTTGTGTGTTATCTTAAAACCATACAAAATACACAATGTAAATGAATTAGTTAATTTAAGATTTGGGCAGCCATGCATACCTATCTAGCAGGTTCATGCAAACTTTGCGCGACCGGAGCTGCTACTATTTCGCCAGGGTTGGTTAATGCCTGCTGAAACCGCGTTTCAATATTACCAATCAACCATTAGAACGCCTCGACCGATGGACGGAACTCCTCGGCTACATATTGTACTTCGTGCAAAGCATCGAGCCAACTAAACACTGAAACAACAGTGTGACGTTCTCATTGGACAAGATGACACAGCTGGACAAGATGACACAGCTCTGCAAGAGATCGCCTATGTCGCTAATTACGCGCGGCGGCGACAGATTTGTGGGCATTCGCTTATTGAAGTGGAAAATCTATCGCACATTCCAAATCATGCGCTGCAAATTGCAAGGCAATACAGCCTAGAGGTAGCAAGCTAATGTAAGTAATTGGTCTTTCCAACCTTAAATCAGAATATAAGACAACCTGTCTTGAAATCACCATTGAGAAAAATATCACAAAACGCTTCACGATCGCGACAAAATAGATCCCACTCGATTTCCAGCTCGGGCAGCGCATTGAGAGTTTTCCTCCGTCTATGCAATTATATTTAATTACTTCTTTCGAAACAACATACAATTCAAGAACATAAAAAGTGCTTACCTCAAACAATTTTTCCAAATAATGCCGGCTATTGTTGATGGAAAATGGTATATCTGTATGTGCGTCTTATTTCTACGCATACAAAAATTATGCATGATGAATGTTGCTACTCTTACAACGTTAGTTTTAGATAGTCTATTGCTGATGCTTAGCTGATAGTGTGTTGCAATATTGCACTTAAAAATATGAAAATTTTAACGTATATAAATGCAGACATTCCGTCCGTTGGAAAAGGAAGGTCACAATCTTTTGATAAATACGAACAAAAGAAGTCAAAGAAATCGGTTTTTTTATAAAAATAAATATTATTAATAAAAATAAATTTATAAAAATAAATAAAAATCAAATAATTAGTTATAACGAATACAAAATTAATTATTACTACAAATTTCCCTCACAATTCCTCCTCTATATAAGAACGCAGTCAAAACTTTTGTTGCGTTTTTTATTTGCTAATGATGCATAACAGATTATGGATTTGTTAAATATGCGAGAAGCATAATATTTAGAAAGCACCCAGATACCGAACATTTGGACCCAAGTGTATATTGCTAAATTTTTACCGAATATATTTTTTAAAAAATCTCATGTTGGTGTTTTCTCATATACCCAATATATTTCATTTAGCCTCTTCGGTTGAGTTTATATCACATATATCTCATTTCAGTTAATTAGTTTAATTTTAATATAAATATTTCGGACAAGAAAAATAGAATGTTGAAACTAAGTTAGTCTACGGCCTATAATCTTAGAAGTTAATAAGATACCAAACATGATTGTAAAACTTTCAGACTTACGTCAAATAATGAATTCTTTCGCAACATTTTTTTTTTTATAAAGTTTCGCAAACCTGAAAATTTCCCCGCCTATCCAAATTGCGAGAGTATAAAATGTTCGGTTAACTCGAAATTGGCCTTTCATTATTTGGTTTTATTATAATATTATTATATCTACTGATTTACATGCTAGGTATAATTTCATTCGTCGCTTAATGTTTACTTAAAATACTTCTTTGCGGTGGTTCATTTCAATTCGTTTATTCATGAATGCATATCTGAATTATAATTTATAAGTTGAAAAATTTACCCAGCTTTTGAGCATGGTAAAAATTTGACGTTCTGATTTGCTACGAAAATTGTTAAAATTTAACTTTCACCCTTCAGAAGTTTTATTTTTCTTACTTTCCTACCGTTGGAACACAGCCTCTGTCGACAGGAGTTCGTGGAGCGTAAACGTTATCGAACACTGTCACGATACAGCATTTCTTGTAACTACTTTATTTACATTTTTGAAAATTCATAGACGCTTCTACCACTATAAAGGTATACATTATACTTACTTATAAACCTTTTTCCTTTCCATTCTGTAATTTTCGCGATCCAATAGGTCTTCAAAGCGCTAGAGGAAAAACGCATTTAGAAATTTTAGCTACCCTACTATTTGTATAATTATTCCGACAAACAGTACACCGTAATTGTTAAGAAAACAAACTTTTAGTGTAATATAAAAGATGTCAACCGGGCATTATTTAGCCGTAACCATTCAAGTCTTGGCTACGTATAAGGTGACTAAGAAAATAAAAGAATTGGTTCGTTATTTTTGAAATTTTATACATTTTTAATTTTACATTCCATCTAACTGTAATATTCAGCTTAACAACACTTCTGAAGTATGAATACTCTCTCCTGAAATACAAAGGAATTAAAAACTTATTTTTTGCTTCATATATATATATATATATATATATACATATATTATAAAAGTTACCTTTATTCTTTCGCCGCTGGTATACCCAACTCAGAATTAGTCCATGAAGAAGTGCTAGGGTATGGAAATTCACCCTAAAAATATACATTAAATATATATTTGGCTCGTTCTATAACCGTATCGAAAATTATTAGGAAATCTACTTGACTTAATAAAAACTTCGAATCTAAACTAAACTTCATAAAACATGTCAATTTGTTGAAATTATTGGCAACTTGAATTTTATTAGTAATAATATAATATGTGGTTAAATAATTAGTTGGCTTCAATAATCGCCTTTTTCTTTTTATCAAAGGAATAATTCAAATGCAGCTGTAAATGTCACCCGGAATATATAATCTAATTTTCTATTAGGTTTTAGCTCTTATAATGATACTGAATTTTATAAGAAGTATTATATACTTCTCGCATAAATTGAAGTAACAAAAAAATTTTGCAAATTTTTTGCCAATTTTCAACAGGCTGCATTTCAGTGAAAAATGGTCGTACAGGAAATAAAAAAAACCTTGATTTTGAAGCCTGAAGACTCTAGTTTAAGAATTTTTTGGTTAAAAATTTTTTTGAGCCCCAGTAGCCATGAAATTCTTGGATAAAGCACGAAAAAAATATTTTCAAAATGTTTTTCATTTTTGTTTTCGCTCTACGGGCATGAAACAAATTTTTCGAGCTAAACCAATGTATAGGTCGCATAGCTGGTTAATTCAGCTTCAATTTGATTTTTGCAGAAGTCAGATACGACCATTTGTCTTCGAGATATCGAATTTTGAATGCAAAAGGATCCTTTTTCACTCAACTGCCGATATCTCTGAAACTACTGGTCGCCTGGCAAGTAGACGGGCGGTTTCGTTTTCTTTACAAAATTTCCTACAAAAATCTGTTATGGTTGATTGAAAAAAAAATTTGTTTCCACCTGAAACGGTAACGTAAAAAAACAGCAAAAAAAAATGCCATTTTCTCCTTATTTGATTAATCGACTGTGTCTTCGACAATATTGGGGCAAAAGCTTAGGTTAGAAGAAAGTTTTATAGTCTAATGTACCCCCAAGACCCCCTTAAATTTTTAGACCGATCGGTTCAGCGGTTTACCCGGACCGATTGATTGAAATTTTGAAAAAATTAAGGGAACAAGATTTTGTTTCTTAAATTTGACCTAATCTTTTTCAAATTCAATTTTTTAATTTTTTTCGACTTTTTACTCAATTTTGAGATTTTTGAAGATTGAGTATAAAAAAAAAATCAAAAATTTTTTTTTCAAAAATTCGAAATTTTCGAAATTTTTTTTTTGAAAATTTAAAAAAAAATTGAAAAAAAATTTATTTCGTTTTTAAGATATACAAAGTTTTTGACAAACGTTTTTATTGATGATTGATTGATCGCCAGCATTAGCGTTATCCAAAGCATACCACGTGGAGGTTGCACGGTCGGATTTACGCTTCTTTTGAGAATTTTCTCAGCGATTTTTTTTACGTGCCATTACGCGTTACAAAACAGTTTTTTTCAAAACTAACTCTTTTTCGATATTTTGGCACTGCAGACCGATCGGTTCAGTGGTTTACCCGGACCGATTGATAGAAATTTTGAAAAAATTAAGGGAACAAGATTTTGTTTCTTAAATTAGACCTAATCCTTTTCAAATTCAATAATTTAATTTTTTTTTCGACTTTTTACTCAAGTTTGAGATTTTTGAAAAGTGAGTATCAAAAAAAAAATCCAAAATTTTTTTTTCAAAAATTCGAAAATTTCGAAATTTTTTTTTTGAAAATTTAAAAAATACTTGAAAAATATTTTTTTTTTCGTTTTTAAAAAATTCAAAGTTTTTGACAAACGTTTTGATTGATGATTGATTCACCGCCAGAATTAGCGTTATCCAAAGCATACCACGTGGAGGTTGCACTGGATTTACGCTTCTGTTGAGAAAGAACGATTATTTTTTCAGCGATTTTTTTTACTAATCCTTTTTCGATATTTTGGCACTGCAAGAACGATTATTTTCTCAGCGATTTTTTTTTCGTGCCATTACGCGTTACAAAACAGTTTTTTTTCAAAAGTAACCCTTTTTCGATATTTTTAAAGAAGAAATTACTGATAGCAGATTTTAAAATTTGATCCGTGCCATAATGGCCCCCAGGCGACATTTATCAGCCCCAGAAGTCGCTCGGCTTGTGACTCTTGTTCAGGGGGGTACAGATATCGGCAGGTAGGTGAACAACTCGGTGTAAGTGCTTCGGTTGTGTCTCGTGCTTACAACCGATTTCTGGAAACAAACGGAAATGAACGACGTGCTGGACAAGGTCGCCATCAAGCAACGACTCGTCGAGATGACCGAGCAATCATTCGACAGGCTATCCAAGACCCTTTTGCTCCAGCCAACGTCATCGCTCGAAACTTCCCAAACCGTCAACAACAACGACAACGACAGCCGCGAAACATTTCTCGATCAACAGTCAGACATCGTCTTCGCGAATCTGACTCCGTGCTAGAACTGGCTGCTCGTGGACCGATGTTGACCGTTGCACATCGTAGAGCTCGTCAGCAGTATGCTCGCGACCATGTGAACTGGCAAATGAGAAATTGAACAACGTTTTTTCTCTGACGAGTCTCGATTTTGCTGCTTATGGTAGACCGGAGACCTCGAGCTTGGTCGTACTGGTCAACGTTATGAACAACGTTTCATTCGTCCCGTAGTTGCTTACGGTGGAGGTTCGGTGATGGTGTGGGCTGCAATTTCACGGAATTCTCGAACTCCTTTAGTAATTGTTCGAGACAATCTCAATGCTAGGCGCTATATCGACCGAATATTGCGACTCACGTGACCATAAGAGCACGTCTGGGACATATTGACCGCCGATTGCGTCAAAATTATCTGAATCTGAATAATTTGCCAGCATTAGAGAACGCTTGATAAGAATTTGGCGCCAGAATGATCCGAAATTGCATTTCGAATATGCGACGAGATTTTTGAAGATTGAGTATCAAAAAAATTTCGAATTTTTGAAACAAAATTTTGGATTTTTTGATACTCAATCTTCAAAAGTCTCAAATTGAGTAAAAAGTCGAAAAAATTAAATTATTGATTTTGAAAAGATTAGCTCAATTTAAGAAACAAAATCTTGTTCCTTAATTTTTCAAATTTCAATCAATCGGTCCGGTAAACCGCTGAACCGATCGGTCTAAAAATTTAAGGGGGTCTTGGGGGTACTTTAGACTATAAAATTTTCTTCTACCTAAGCTTTTGCCCACTATTGTCGAAGACACAGTCGATTAACCAAATAGGAGAAATGGCATTTTTGCTGTTTTTACGTTACCGTTTCAGGTGGAAAAATTTTTCAATCAACCATAACAGATTTTTGTAGGAATTTTGTGAAGAAAACGAAACCGCCCCTCCACTTGCCAGGCGATCAGTAGTTTCAGAGATATCGGCAGTTGAGTGAAAAGGATTCTTTGCATTCAAAATTCGATATCTCGAAGACAAATGGTCGTATCTGACTTCTGCAAAAATCAAATTGAAGCTGAATTAACAGGCTATGCGACCTATACATTGGTTTAGCTTGAAAAATTTGTTTCATGCCCGTAGAGCGAAAAAAAATGAAAACATTTTAAAATATTTTTCGTGCTTTATCCAAGAATTTCATGGTTACTGGGGCTCAAAAATTTTTAACCAAAATTCTTAAACTAGAGTCTTCAGGCTTCAAAATCAAGGTTTTTTATTTCCTGTACGACCGTATAAAATGGAAGACGGATGCAGCATTTGGGTGATCTTGACCAATAGTTTCAAATTGTAGATTGCGTAGTTGATGTGATGCGTGATGTCTTCTTGTATGTACAAATCTATACTTTGTTCAACCGATACTATCCGTTAAAGCTATCTTATGATGCCACCAACACAATATTTAATCAACGTGCATAAAATACAAGGTTACGACCACATTGAAACATATGTTTGATGACGAAGTTGGTTCAAATGGTTGGTTGCCATAGACTTTTCAATATGTTTGAGTTCCTTTAGATCTTTGAAACGGCTTAAAATATTATTCATAAGAAGCTATTAACTGATAATTTTCTAGTAGCATTCAAAATTTTGTATTAGAGACGATATGAAGTAGTTTTACATTTAAAAACTTATTTTAGTATTCAAAATTATTTCAATTTACCAAACTTTTTAATTTTTAACAAAAATGTGTACACATATCAACTCTAATTGGCTGATGATATTTGAAAGAATGACATATTTAAATAAGTCGGATCTGTTAAAAATGTTTAAGTTCGTGGCGGTTGCGCATAGTTTACAAAAACGTTTCAACATGGAATTCAATTTCTTCAGAATGGGGCTGACAGATCGAGATGACTGCAGAAAATGCTAAGAGCAAGGCACCAGGGAAACAATGGAGCATATCTTACGCACTTGTCCGCATTAGCAGGGCAACGCTTTAAACATTTGGGGGCTCGACAGTATGAGACACTGGAAGAGGTATCGACTGGGAGGCCACAGAGTCATTGAAATTCGCGTCAACCGCATGTATCCTAAAGGCTGGCTACTGTCATGCACTTCGTACCTGAACTCTACCTGGTATCGCAAGCACCAAACTGGTCTAAAGTATCACGACAGTGACGAAGGTCGGGCACGGGCAGGGACAGTTTGCCCTGTTACAGTTGGGAGGTATCTAGCTTAGGTCTGTAATAATATTATATAATATAATGTAACTTGGTTAGTGGGGCTATGCGCCAGTGGACCTACTTTCCCTTCACTCGTGGGAGCTGAAGCTAAGTCTAACTCCAGGAAGGCAACAACACCAGCGTTTTCCGGACCAAACTCTGCAGCCAAAGTACCGCTACAAAGCAAGGGAAGGAGTGTAAAGTGTTGTTGCTAGTAGTGGAATAGCTTATTTAAAATTCGGTGACCCACCGAAAGTGAGGTATGAGGTGAGCGTGGTCTGCCTATCTGCTTTGAAGGTGCAGCTGTAACCGCCGACCAATGAGGAGTTTATAAACGAGCTGCAGGAGCTGATTTCGCGAAAGCGTTTCTAAACATTTTAAGCTTGAGTCGCCAGCAGCGGCAGTCAAGAAACAGAGGTTCACTAAAGAGGATAAACAGTCAGCCAAGGGCATGACATCCGCTAAATCGTTGTATGATGTGACCGAACCTTATTATCATTGGTTTCTGAATGAGGAAGATCCCGACGGAAAACTCCTCATAGCCGAATTGAAATAGGTGCAAGCTGTCCCTCAATTGAGTAATAATATTATTAGTTTAGGTGGCATTATAAATGTAGTGTGACCATCAATTCAATTCCAAAGCATTCAACAAACAAACTTTATTTATGTATTTATTAATAGAGTAGTTCTTTGTTCTCAGTACTTTGATACATTAACAAGTTTCTTTATTTAAAATTTGAAATTAGAGACAAAGAAATTACTTAAAGATTTATCAAAACCTGAATGAAAAAACATGTCGATAACAAATATTAAATTTTCTATAACGGAGTCAAAAAGCATAATCCAATAAAATTAAAATATTCTAACTTAGCCCTCCCAGAAATTTTTCTTAAGGTTTTCGAAATATGTATTTCACATATTTTTCTGTTATTATTTATACGAGATCTTTTCTATCAAAATTTAAATCGAGTTAATTTAGAAAATAATCAATTGGTTATTAATATTAAGTTATTACCTGGCAGCTCAACAGTGACCACTCCTTAGGCTGGATGTTTATACTTTTCCATGAACTTTATTTTGGGTTAATCGAACCATAGAACTTGTAGTAAGAAGATTCTGCATGAAAAGCAGAAATCGGTGGATGATGCGATACTTGTTCGCATAAAATTTTGAAATCTTTCCTTTGCAGTTCGTACGTTTCTCCCAAAAGTGGATTGAATGGTTTACCAACACGTTCCGTTTGATGCTAATGCCGACACAGCGAAAGCTGAAATAATGAAACTACGTATAAAACTTAACTTATTTAATATAATGTAATACATTTTTGAAATACATTACTATTTTTATTTCCTCATTCGCAGCGCGCGTTAATTTTAATAAAACACGTAAGGAAGGGCTAAGTTCGGATGTAACCGAACATTTTATACGCTCGCAAAGTAAAATGGTGTACTCATTTGAGAAAAAAATATTAATACTCACTGAGCGACACAGCGAAAGCTGAAATAATGAAACTACGTATATAACTTAATTTATTTAATATAATATGTAACACATTTTTTTTGAAATACATTACTATTTTTATTTCTCTCATTCGCAGCGCAGCGTTAATTTTTAATAAAACACGTAAGGAAGGGCTAAGTTCGGATGTAACCGAACATTTTATACGCTCGCAAAGTAAAATGGTGTACTCATTTGAGAAAAAAATATTAATACTCACTGACCGACCGAGTATTAACCCGATTTTATAAATTTTTGCCAATACCACATACTACTAACATGCCCCAGACTAATAATCCCGCTCTTTCATTGAGGTAGCTCACATACCATCACTAATCATATGGAGTAAAGTCAGACGTTAGGTACAATTTT